TGTATATATAAAAGCACCAACTGCAAGAAAAAGAAAAGGCAGTCTTTTTTAAAGAGAACTCTCTAGAGGGTGAGTTAGAAGAGGCCATTCAGAAAGTGGAAAAAGACACAGAGAAAGAGATGTGATATACTGGTGGTAAGAGGGAGATTTTGAAATGGAGAAGAGAATGAGAATTGCATTATCAATTTTTTTCTAGTCAAAATATGTATTTTTAAAATTGGGTTAAATGGTATTACAGGGGTGCCTGGGTGGTTCAGTGGTTAAGCATCTGCCTTCGGCTCAGGTCATGATCCCAGGGTCCTGGGATCCAGTCTCGAATCAGGCTCCTTGCTCAGTGAGGAGCCTGCTTCTCCTCCTCCCCCTCTTCCTGCTCATGCATTCTCTCTCACGCTCTCTCTTTCTCTCAAATAAATAAAATCTTTAGAAAAAAATAAAGATTAATTTATTTATTTTGGTGGGGAGGGGCAGAGGGAGAGAAAGAATCCTGAGGCAGACTCCCTGCTGAGCAGGGAGCCTGACATGGGGCTTGATCCCAAGACCCTGAGATCGTGACCTGAGCTGAAATTGAGTTGGCTGCTTAACAGACTGAGCCATTCAGTGCCCCCCCAAAAAAGTATTTTTTTTTTTTTTTTTTTAAGATTTTATTTATTTATTTGCCAGAGAGAGAGAGAGCACAAGCAGGGGGAGTGGCAGGCAGAGGGAGAAGCAGGCTCAGCACTGAGCAAGGAGCCCGATGCGGGACCCATCCCGGGAGCCTGGGATCATGACCTGAGCCGAAGGCAGACACTTAACCGACTGAGCCACCCAGGCATCCCAAGAAAAAAGTATTCTTCACTTGATAAATGTAGGATGTTCCTTGGTAAAGAGGTGGGTTGTTACTCTAGACTTTAGAGCAAATCCCTGATATCCAGCAAAGAAACTTTTAGGGCCTAGGTCTCAGTTCTCACTAGGCCAAATTTCTTCAAGGCTCCAGATATCCTTCCTTTGCCTTTTCTTTTCCTTCAACTTTTATTCTAACTCAGGATTTTGTTTTGGATTCTGTTTTTGCAGTTTCTTCTTCCAGGTTCCCTCTCTCATGCCATGTGGCAATAGCTTTGGGACTTCTGAACACCATTTTTGTGTGTTTCCTGCTTGTCCAGTGGATTCGCTGCCAGGGTAAGTACTAACTTAAGTTAAAATCTTTTATTTTGCCTATTTTTTTTAAAGTTTATTTATTTAAGTAATCTCTACACTCAATGTGGGGCTTGAACTCATGACCCTGAGATGAAGAGTTGCATGCTCTTCTGACTAAAGTAGTCAGAAGTATCCCTATTTTACCTATATTTTGTTATAAAAGCAACATAACATAACAGAACATTTGAAAAATGAAAAATAATGCCAACAAAATAAATCATCACTTGTACACAACAACATTTCCTGGGTATCGTCTCCTAGGCTTTGACTACAGGCATTTGTGTAAGTATTTATTCTTTTAACAAAGAATATCAAGTCCTCTAAAATTTTCCCCACCTTTTTTTTTTTTTTAAAGTAAGACTGGGTATTATATCATAAACACTTTCCTAATACCATATCTATTATGATAATCAAATTAAAATTGTATTATTTATGTATTGTGTTTAACTTTTCACAAAATAGATATATCAAAATTTAATTAAATATATTCTGCTTTTTTTCCAATTAGAGTGCTTTCACATTGAAGTGAAATTTTCTAGATTTAATTCTTCTAGATCATTAACTATGATGATCCAGAAAGCCCTCAGTTTATTATTTTATAATCCAGAGTGCTGACTTAAGTTTATGTTATCTGGAGATGATTGTTATACAGACTTTATTCATTTGGACTCTTAAGGGTTCAGGGGCGCCTGGGTGGCTCAGTCGGTTAACTGTCTGCCTTCGGCTCAGGTTGTGATCCCGGGGTCCTGGGATCGAGCCCCGCATCGGGCTCCTTGCTCATCAGGGAGCCTGCTTCTTCCTTTCCCTCTGCCAGCCGCTCTGCCTACATGTGCTTTCTCTCTCTGTCTCTCTGTCAAATAAATAAAAAAAATCTTTAAAAAAAAAAAAAAAAAGGACTCTAAGGGTTCAGCCCTAGGACCTCTACCTCAGACCCAAGTCCTTTGACAGAAAGAGACTCCAAGGAAGTTGGGAATTTCTCATTCAGGCTGGATAATGTCACAGATGTATGGAAAAAGCATAAATTTATAAGGTGCCAACCGTATAGCTTGATTTACAGAACCCTATATTGGTCACATGCCAAGCCACAGAAAAGTTGTCTAATTTTGACATTTTTATTTATTTATTTATTTATTTTAAAGATTTTATTTATTTATTTGAAAGAGAATGAGAGAGAGCACATGAGAGGGGGGAGGGTCAGAGGGAGAAGCAGACTCCCCGCCGAGCAGGGAGCCCGATGCGGGACTCGATCCCGGGACTCCAGGATCATGACCTGAGCCGAAGGCAGTCGCTTAACCAACTGAGCCACCTAGGCGCCCTTGACATTTTTAAAAAGGACTACCTTCGCTACTTTTTAACCCCCAAACCTAGATTAGGTATATAACCTATTGTGCAGTCATGTATTCACACTCGTTTGCTATAATGATTCATATGCGCCTGTCGTGGAATTGTGCCAGTAAGGGGTTTATACAAATGTATTTTATGAAAGTAGAAAATCAATAGAATTATGGAACCTTGGCTGAAATGACCTCGAAAGCTTATTCAGTTCCCTTTCATTTTCACAGAACTATAATCCAGCCATTTTTTAAAAAGATTTTATTCGTTTGAGAGAGAGAGAGAGATCAAGCATGAGGCAGGGAGAGGGGCAGAGGGTGAGGGAGAAGCAGACTCAACGCTGAGCAGGGAGCTCAACGCAGGGTTTATTCCTAAGAGCCCAAGATCATGACCTGAGCTGAAGGCAGATGTTTAAGGCAGACATTTAACTGACTGAGTCACTGAGGCACCGCCCCCCCTTTTTAAGATATAATCCAGCCATTTCAAAGGAGTGAGAATGTTCTGTATTTAAAAGAGCCCTGTGAAGAAATTACATCACTTCTCACTTTAGCATCTGATATCCTTCTCTGTCAGAAACTTGTTTGATAAATTCTTTTTGCTGAAGTGTAAGTCTTTTATCTAATATCTAATGATGACAATCACATTTGTGATAAAAGATAAAACACTTATCTTTCACTTTAGTTAAGTTTGCTTTTTCTAGTTTCTGTCCTTTTCTTTTTTTAAAAGATTTTATTTATTTGACAGAGAGAGCGAGAGAGCACAAGCAGGGGGATCAGTAGAAGGAGAGGGAGAAGCAGGCTCCCTGCCGAGCAGGGAGCCTGATGCGGTGCTCAAACCCAGGACCCTGAGATCATGACCTGAGCCGAAGGCAGATGCTTAACCATCTGAGCCACCCAGGCACCCCTGTCCTTTTCTTTTGCATTATCATGGGGTATCGGTTGAAGTTGGGCATTCTGGAAAATTTGGCCTGATTTCAGCAATGTATATTATGCAGTTACGCAGCGCGTGCACTAAGCCTACATAGACAATGGACTGATAAATATAATGCAGATGCTTAGTTATTTTAATCTGGTATGAATACAGCATATGTGCATAAAGATCTCTAGCACAAGTGTTGTACTCTGTCCATGGTGCTCTGCCAGGTTGTATCCATTTCCTTACCTGCTTTAGTCATAGTCACACGCTTAAGTAGTGGAATGCACAGTAGTAGTGATAGAGTTGGACATCATGAAGTTTTTAATTTGAGGGCAGGCATTGTTGTGCATTTCTCTAAACCTTAGTCTGAAAGGTGGTAGGGCAAGGAAGATGGGGGGGCCGCCATGTTCTATTTATCTCCCATTTCATTTCCAAGACTAAGTGGTCCATAAAGATGTGAACCAGGTCCTCTTCCTTTCCAGGTTCCAAGTGTACCACTTGTCACAGTTGTCCAGACCTCTGGATGAAGTATGGTAACTACTGTTATTACTTCTCAGTGGAGAAAAAAGACTGGAATTCTAGTCTGGAATTCTGCCTAGCTGAAGACTCACATCTCCTTATGTTCACAGACAACCAGGAAATGGTAAATGCAAACATTTAGCAAATGTCGGTTGTTTTGTTGGTGAATGCTGTTCCAGTGTACTGTGTATTCTCTTTTGAGGAACAAAAGGAACGCTCTTCTCTTTCCCTCTCCTTCTCTCTCTCCTCTTTCTTTCCCTTCCTTTCTCCTCCTCTACCCCTGCTCCTTTCCTCTCCTTCCTACTCCTTACCCTTTCTCTGCTTGACCCAGCAGCCCTCAGGTACGGAAACTTAGATGTTTGCATACTCCTGTATGTGTGTATGTGTGTGCTGGAGGTGGAAGGATGGGGAGTATTACAGATAGAAATTAGGCGTGAAATACAGGTCTAATTAAAAGAAAGCATTAGATCCAGAAACATATGGGTCCAACAACAAGGAGGCAGCAGATTCCTATGCAAAAGCTGGTGGAATTTGGGAGGGAGTGGAAGAGAGAGAGATCATGGGGACAGAGAGACTGTGGCGAGGGCTTAAATGCCTTTTTCAGTAATTTCCCTTCATTCATTGGAATCCAGTAAGTTCTAGGCTAGCAAACATTTGGTATGAGGCATAGGGCATGAAGAAGAAGCAGTTCCAGAGAGCTGGGAAAGAAGAAAGGACAGTGTGTATGTGTGTGTGTGTGTGTGTGTGTGTGTGTGTGTGTGTG